CCACATTGGAAAGTACATATGCCTGTCAAGTGGAGAACCTGGATAGTTTGCCAACAGCTCTAATTACCACCCTAGAACTTTACAAGCGTTATACTGAATCTTCACACTCACCACAGGAAGTTTACCATTATCCCCACATTAAAGATGAGGAAACGGATGCGCAGAAAGGCAAGGCAACTGGCCCAAGATCACACAGCATGTGTGTGACTAGCGAGGGCAGCATCTGAGTCTACAGTCCATTCTATTAACCATTTATCTCTCTTTACTGCCTCCCTTGGCTTATCTTCTGTGTGGTCTTCAGCACTTCCATTGGCCATTAGATCTCTTAAAACATAAAAATGGGGACCTGGGTGCCAAGACAGTTACCTTGAACTGAAGCCTGCCCGTGTCCCACTCTACTCCCATGCAACCTGAGACTGATTTGGGGGACCATGGGATTCCGTGGACACAACACTGTAACACAGGTGCTGAATGATTACACTTTAAAAACCATACTCTCTCCCGTGGCCATGAGGGTCAGAGATGACTTTTTTAAACATGCTGACACTGTCTTGGATAGGCTAGATGCTGGGGATGGAGATGAGTAACAGGATTCCTACTGTGGGGCCTGGACTAGGTGTCTGTGCACCCTTGTACCCCAAGTGCCCGGATATAGTAATCATCTGATAAATACTAGTTACGCCGAAGACAAGGAGAATGTGCGACAGAACATAAATGTCTCAACACAGGGAGACTGGGGGGAAGTATTTAAATCCTGACCTTGCCACGTCCTAGTATCTTGAATAAATGGCATCACAGCTCTGGGTTTCACTTTTTCCACCTGAAAACTGAAGCCAATAATAGTAGCCATGATGCAGAATTAAGAGTTAGGATAAAATGAGATGATATACATACATGTAGGCTCTTGGTTCCAAGCCTGGCACATTGTAGTAAAGACTCAACAAACACTAAAAACTATTATTAGTCTTAAGGCTTTCGTATTTTCAGGAGAGAAAAGATTAAGTATAATAATACATGTTCCTTTTGGAGGAAGGTTTAGTATAAAAGTGACATTTAAGCTAGGGGAGAGGCAAAGGGATTCCAGGTAGGGTAAGCTATAAAGACAGACTCAGGGCTGATCTAGGATTTAGCATCATCCTTATATATATATCACAGATGAGACAACTGGTCCTGGCAGGTACGTCCTGGGAGGCAGTGCATTAGACTGGAAAGCCACATGAGAATCAGATTCCGCTTCTCCTAGAACTCGTCTTCTGTTGGATCAGGAGCGGAAGGCAAACTTCCTAGCTTGGGATAAAGAAAAAAGTCTCCTCTGATGTTCACCTGACCAAGACGGTAACTCTGGCTCACCCACAAAAATGAGTGCTCTTCTACCTGTTACCTGGAGGCGAGGCAAAACAGCCTCTAAATGAGGACACAGCACACACTGATACGACCATGGACTTACTGCTAAGATGTGGAGGACATCCTTGGCAGTGTTCTTTATGACCTATCAAACTACAAGTTTCTTTCAACCTCTGATCAAAGCCTCTGTGCTCTATGCAACATCTTTCTAGAAAAATACACAGGTTATCAAATTTTTTTTCAGAAAGTTCATCACCTCCCTGACAGCCATCTAGTCTAGGCTAAGAATCCAGGGTCTGGGTAGGTGCTGGGCCCCTTTGAACACTATGACTCAGTGCATCTGGTGTACCCGGAAATCTAGACACTGTTCTACACCAAGCCCCAGGTCTCTCTGCCTGTTGGCAGCAGTAGCACACGAGGGAAGGCTGGATTCACACCACAGGGAAGTATAACTGGCTTCGGAGCCAAGTCATCCTGCCAGCAAGACTGTCTCCAGACTCAAACCCAAGGGTCTAGCCTCAGCCAACCAGCCCCAGGTCAGGTCACAACTGATTTACTGGGGTCTCAGAAACATGGACTAAGGCTGTTTCCTCACCAATATTCACTCCTGATGTCAAAGGACACAGGATTCCCCACTAAATGGTGATGGCAAATGGGGCATTTTCTTGTCCTTACTTCAGTATTTTAAGTCAATGCCCAGTAAGATGATTCAATCAGCAGTGCTTATGGAACCATTCCCTACATGCCAGATATTGGGCTCGGGACCAGGAATACAACAGTGAACAAAACCAACACAGCCCCTGTCCGCCTAGAGCTTACAATCTTGGCATTAAGAGAAATCACTTCTACTCTCTTAAATTTGCTGTGTCCTAGTATGTAGTCCTAGTACGTAGTCAAATTTTGCTGTACTCCAAAAATTAACACAACACTATAAAACAACAATTTTTAAGATATGTATAAATCTGAAAATAAAAAATTTAAAGAGAAATAATCAACTATCAGGTCTTGAAGAACCTTCCGTACTCAGTTCACCTCTGTGCCTGACAAATACT